AACTGGATCGAGTTTGCCTTTCTTTTTAATGCTGTTTGACTTGTAGCAGGATTATAAAACATATAGAAAATGCTTCCGTTGGCTGTGCATAGAGTTTATCATCCTCTTTCTTTCGCTTGTCACTTCCTTGCATATTAGACCATCCATCACCCATCACTCTTTGACTTTTCAGACCCTCATAATCCACATGATACTTATCCTTTTGATTAAAACAACTTAATGTCCTTTTCACGAATAATTAATCTGCTGTCTTTTTACTTTCAGCTCCAGGCTTTTAACTTTAATGTTGAGTTATCAAGCCTGTGTTGCCTTTCAAAGTTTCACTCCCTTCAGCCTTTTCCCCCTCGAAGGTTTAATACCGCTTTAGAAACTTCAATGTTTGCTATACTAAGGTTTTTAAAAGGCTTCCAAGTTACTCTCATAGTTTTTCTGCTGTGTGTGAAGTGAGTAACTGGCCAGAGACCAGTGGGATGAAATGAAAATCATTTCGGACTTGCATATTCTGTTATTCCAGAAAATGTGGAGGCTTGCGCTATGAAGAAAAGTTAAAATTCCATTGCTTTTGAAGAAATAATTGCGTATTATATTTTGTGGTTACGTGTTTCTAATTCTGATGTTTTCCTAACAGCGACAATTTATACCAAATGACCTCTCAGCTTGAATGCATGACCTGGAATCAGATGAACTTAGGAGCCACCTTAAAGGGGTAAGGTCTTGTCTACTCCATCACCCTTCAACAATAACTTACACCTGTTTGGACCATTTTAAAGGTGCTTAGAACTTAGGAAGAGAGTAAAATTTTAGAAGAATGGGCAGAGCTCTCTGTAGCATTAAAATGCTTTCTTCCTTCCCCCAGCTGGTGGTTATGTTCAGTATTAAATTTTCAAAAATGTAAATAGGGGATGTTTTTGTCTGGAATAAGAGAGTTGGGAATATATTAGGAACACTTAATGTAGTCTTTCCTTGTTGAATGTTTTAGAATTCTTCAAAGTTGTGTCCATTCAACCTCGTTTAATGATTATGTTTTGCTAGTGATATCCTTCTGTTATCTTATCAAGAAATACTTTGGGTGTACAAAGTCCACGATCCAAATTTGTATTTGTGTGATGCTGATTTGGGCAATACACAGTCAGATATGCTCGTACCTGGTCACACCAACAGGTTTCCCCCCCGACACACACATCATATACAACCATAATAGAGAGAATACAGCTAGCAGAAGTAGGTAGGTAGGGCCTACTCTTTGCACCTAAAAATGAAAAAAAGGAAGGCAAGTGGGACCTGGCTTTCACAGTGAAAGAACTCGCTTTTGGTTTTCTAACGAGTCTGAGGAGATGGGCAGTAGCATGTAACACTCATGAAATGCCTGCAGTGTATCAGGTATTCTTTTAGGTTACTTCATCTTATCTTCCTGACAGCCGTATCAGGTCTAGGTACCATGACCCTGTTTTACAGATGAGTAAATCAAACTCTAAGAATTAAGTCACTTCCCAAGTTTGCATCCTACTAAGTGGTAGAGCTGGGGTTCCAAGCCCAGGTCTGATTCCAAAACCCAGGCTCTTTCCAGCCTCCCGGAGGTGAGTCTCACTCCACCACTGGCCCCAGTGGGATTGGGGACTTAGTTCAACACTTGTGACTAGACAACCAGCATTATGTCTCTGTGTATTCAGTGGCTTCTCTTTGGATTCTGGGACCTGGGGGGCTCACCAGAGCCATGCATGTGCCATTCCCCATTGCCCACCTCTTCTTCTCTTCTAGAGTTGCTGCTGGGAGCTCCAGCTCAGTGAAATGGACGGAAGGGCAGAGCAAGTGAGTGGACGATGCGGTGGTGGCACAGCAAATGGCGTAGGCCTTGTGGACTGGCAGCTGCAGCAGTGCAGGGGTTAGGGCTGGCGTGTGGGTGACCAGGGCAGCAGCTGTGGGATGGGAGGAACTGATCCCCCGTCCCTCTGCCTCTTCCTGTCTGTCTTAGACATACTGTGGCGAAATGGAGGTGGTGATGTTTCTCGTCAACATGGAAAATTGGAAGACAATTAAAAAAATGATGCAGGAGGAACCCTGCTCATTTCCTTGTGAATGTTTCACAAAATACTAAACTTGCGGCATTACACGTGCTCCTGTTAGATCGTTCAAGTCTTCCAGTCTTAATTTACTTAACTTGCTTTTTCTCTAATTTGCCTTTACATTTCTCAGGGAGAACTTAATTTTTGCCCTAAGTCTCTGGCCAGGCTTTTCAAAGACATTTTTTTTTCCCCATTCCCAAACATGTGAGCCTTCCCCAGCCCAATACCCTGCACCCTGGGGGCATTTCCTTAGCTATTTCCTTTTATTTTCTCTCCTTAAACACCAGAACCAGCCTTACTCTTTTCTTCTCTCTTTTGTTGGCCCAGTCCTGTTTTTGGACCATTCTTCCATGATGGGCAGAGTTGTTTTTCATCTTCCAAGACCTACTGTTAGATCCTTCTCCCTAATCCTATCCCCCAATTTTTCTGCTATTTTATCCAAATCTCCACTTCCTTTCTTTGGACCTGAAAGTAAAAAGCCTTCTGTTGTCTTGAATTGTTTCCTTCCCCACTTCCATCCAAGCGGCTGCTGACAATTTCAGCATTCTGTCTTTCTGCCTCCCCTCAACTTGTCTTAAGTTGGGTGGCTTCTTGGTCCCACCTTTGCTTTTTGGATCCTTTCCTTCTCTTCTCTCTTCTGCTCGGAACTTGGTAACTCTCCCCAAACGAAATACCAAGAACAGACAGAACATGATTGCAAAGTTACGTACGTTTCAATTTTAAAAATTTCTTTATTCTGGAATACAGGGTTTGTTTATTTAATTACAGAAATTACAGATAAGGAACCTTGGCATGTATTTGAATCTGAGTCTTTCCAGAGTTGAGATAATTTTGATAGTTTTTAAGGTCTTGTGCTGTTAGTCATTTGCTGAGGAGTCAGAAACTATCGTAAGGATGAAGTACAACGTGTGAATAATTTGTTTTGTTCAATCCTGTATAAGAAAAAAAACCTAGAAGAGTTTTCATTGTTCTGTTACATCTTGGAAAAGGATTTATGCAATAAAAATGTATTTCTTGAATACTAACTTTATTCAGGGAGCTGTATAAAAAGGATCAGATAGCCCCAACAGATAGTCCCACAAAAGAACAACTCTTTTGAAGAGCAAAAAATTATAATTATCCAATTTACTGATATCTTCTGTCACACTGTGCATTTATCCCTTTAGAACATGTTGTACGTTAACTAATTTCTGCTTCCGTATTGTGAATTGAACATTTATCGAAGGGTGTATGTTCACATTATGAGGGGCTGTGTGTGTGTTTCCTCTTCTGATCTTACAACCACCCCAGGGTGCTATGGTCATATCCGTCTTTCAGATGAGGAGGCTGGAGAGATTAAGCCACCTAACCAAGTTTGCATAGTAAGTGGCAGAGCTGTGTTGGAATCAGTTCTGTCTAACTCTAGGACCTGGGCCCTAGATAAGAGTTTCTTAAACCTTTTAGACCGTGACTACAGTTTGAAATACCTTTTACAGTGAGATCTGATATACACCCATGTGTGTGTGCACACAAAGACACACACACAAAACACACATTTTCACTAAACAATTCTTACCCTTAAGGATATTGTGCATGCTGGTAATTTCTGCTCTATCATTTTTAAAATGCTGATTGTGATGCGCTAGATGGATTTTACACTCTCTGACGTGTCATGCTAACTGTGCGCCTTTCTTTTAGCTCTCAAAAACGGTGACTCTTTAGCTTTCTCCTCCAAGCCCCAGAACAACCCAGAACTGGATTCAGTTGAATCTGTAATTCCAGTAGAAAGTTTGGCCTTTCCCCAACGGAGACACAGTCTGGGCTGGGGTCATTGTTCTCTGTGAAACTGGGTTTACTTTCTCTTGCCATGGTACGAAAAATGCTGTTACTGTGGGAAATACATTTGAGAAAAGATACTCCATGAAGAAAGATTAAGACAAATAGCTTTGCTTTCATCCACAGCTAGTGTCTTGACACTATTTGAAATCAATGATAAAATCATGATGACAAGGTAGATCTATAACAGGAAAACTGGTGGTTTTACTCATGCTTTAGAGAAAAAAGATGTACTCTCCATATCACTCATAAAATAAGGCATATTAATTTTTTATTAAAAGATCATGTAATGGCCGGGCGCAGTGGCTCACGCCTGTAATCCTAGCACTCTGGGAGGCTGAGGTGGGTGGATCGCTTAAGGTCAGGAGTTCGAGACCAGCCTGAGCAAGAGCGAGACCCCGTCTCTACTAAAAAATAGAAAGAAATGATCTGGACAACTAAAAATATATATATAAAAATTAGCTGGGCATGGTGGCGCATGCCTGTAGTCCCAGCTACTCGGGAGGCTGAGGCAGAAGGATCGCTTGAACCCAGGAGTTTGAGGTTGCTGTGAGCTAGGCTGATGCCACGGCACTCCAGCCCAGCCAGGCAACAGAGCAAGACTCTGTCTCAAAAAAAAAAAAAAAAAGATCAGGTATTAATATCTCAAGCTAAACCCCACTAAATGCTGGTTGATGTCATCTGTCCTTGGAAGTGTTACTTTTTGGAAAACTGACTCCACAAAGAATAGGCTTGTTTCTTTGTGTCCTAAGCAAGTGCATGTGGGCGGACACGTGCCATTCGATGTCAGGGAAGTGTAATGGGTAGGGGTAGGGTTTTAAGTAGGACATGGGCAAGATGAAATGAAAACATGATAGATGGAAGGGGGATTCTCTTGCTGCTTACTCCTTTCTCTTCCTTCTACTTTTACTACTTTCTAATCTCTGCATGCCCATTGGGATCAGAGCCACTTTTATGACCTCCAATGGGAGAATGTTGTATTTCAATTTAAGTCAAAGAGCAGATACTTCATGGAACCACTTCCTTTCCCTCACCCATAAACAAATGAAATTTGATTTTTAAGTGGGTCTCTGGGAGAAAAAATTGCTGGGGAATCTTTCTAAGGGTGAGTCCACCATTATGAATACTTCTATTTACGGCGCCTTGTGTTATCTGCTTTTTACTTCTTTAAAAACATTTTCTTTGTGTTCTTAATGGCTGCTGATTTCCTAAGGCTTTGAACAAGTCTCAGCTACTCTGTTGGCCTCTGTTTTGTCTCTTCTGAAGAAAATATCCTGCAAAATGGAGAAACACATCAACCTTGACTGCGGTCCAAGTTATTAAAACAAGGAAGAAGTTATTCTCCGGGGACACGGGTAGGGGGAGTGGGAAATCGAACACAATAGAAATGTTAAAGGAGTGCTGAGCAAAATGAATGTCCTTTTGCTGGTCCAAGAAGTTCACAAACTGTTGGGAACAAAAAGTATTTGACCTGTGGATGCTCGAAAGGAAAAACAAAAAGACTCAACCATGAGTGATGTATGGTGAAAACAAAGCTGCGCGTTTTGGTGGGGCCAAGGCTGTCGAATCTGGAGAAAATCCCCGCTAGACATGGTCTCATCCCTGAGAACCTGTGCCAAAAAAGATAGCTGTCTTCTCTGGCTGGGAGCTCCAGTACACAGCCCAGCACCTTCACGGACTCGTGAACATAAGGTACCCGTCCAAGAGATTTACTTCTTGGAAATAGATAGCTTGCTTTTAAGTGGCTCCTGGAGCCTGAGACGCAAAGCAAAGGTGGAGAGCTGCAATTCTGAGTATCAGCATTCCTGAGCCTACTCCTCCACCTCCACCCGCAGCAAAATCTTGTTAATTTCCCCCTCTGAACAGTTCCCTTTATGCTGTTTGAACAGTTCTTTCTTTATCATTGCCGTGCACCGGAGTTGGCTGGGGTCTGTTAGCTCTTCCGACCAGAGCGAAGAATGGGACTCCTGACTTTGATGAAGATGGTGACTGTGACTTAGTGCTGTGTCCCTCTCGCTTAGGGTGGACCTAATTCAGAATCTTCTTTGCCTTCGCTTCTCACTTTCCTGCTGCTTCTTTCCCCTTCCTGACTCTTGGTCTTACCCACCCTTTTCTTTTTGAGCATGTATTCAATTAATGTATTCTTTTCATTATGTAAGTAATGTATGTAAATTATAGAACATTTAGAAAATGCAACTATTAGTATATGGGGAAGGAAATTCAAACTCCCCCCCCCCCATAGCCCACAGGAAACTACTATTCACACGATGTTGCACACACTTTTAGACCTTTTCCTATATGTACATATACATTTATGTCATTTTCTTTCTTGTAGAAAATGATTGGCTTCAGC